ATATATATATAGAAACAAAATAAACGGAACCATTGCATGGGGTTATAAATGGAACTGTATAGTAATTTCAAAAGCGCGCTGACATAAAGGACATATTAACATAAAAATTAAGACAGAAAAATAAATTTAATTAAAAAAAAAAAGACTATAAATTACAAAAAGCACTGCAAAGCTAGCCCAAGGAAATATTTTACAAGGGGATCGTCTACCACTCAGCTAAGATATATCCCAGTTGAAGTAGTCTCTTGTACAAAACTTATCCTACAAACATAAACTGGGTCATCCGATCCCTTTCGGCTTGAGCTTGGAGTATGAAAGATCTCTCCCGAACGTCTCTTGGCAAAGAGTGACCATCTCCTCCATCCTCTCCACTTTATCCACACAAACAAGTAGCTTGCATATCTCCTCGCCATGATTAACCCCGGCCGACCGAGCAAAGCTATTCTCGATTTCTTCCAGGCTGCGAGCCAGCGGCCTAGGGGATATCCAACATCCATTTTATAATATTCCGTATAGCCCCTTCAAAGCAGGGGCAAAATTGTAACCTCGTCATATTATATTCTCTCCCCTATAAATGTTCATTAATGTTCACTCCTGTCGTTGCCTCTCACCCTCTCTCCTTATGACTTATGCTTAGGGTTGTCAAAAAAGCTCGTTGTTCGCGAACAGTTCGTGTTCGGTTCGTCAATGAGTTAATGTTCGATTTGTTCGATAAGTAAACGAGACGAACGTGAACAATTTTTTTTTGTTCGGTTAGTTAAACGAACCAAACACGAACAGTGATGCGTTCGTTCGTGTTCGAATCATTATTGTTCGAAATATAAAATAATTTAAAATAAATATATATAAAAAATTTATAATATTTTAAAACATTAAATTTTATAATTTATAATATATAATAAATTAATAATAATAATATATACTATATTAGTAATATACTAATATAGATATTATATATTTATATAATATAAGCTATATAATTAATATAATATATTATTTATATATATTAATAATAGGGATGTCAAACTGGCTCGTCGTTCGCGAACAGCTCGTGTTCAGCTCGTTCGTTAAGAAACGAACACCAATAGTGACTTCACGAACAATTTTGAACACGAGCTTATTTCAAAGAAACTAAATTTCAAACGAACCAAACATGAACACAAGTTTTGTTCGTTTGTGTTCAGTTCGTTTACACCTCTACTTACGTTCTATTCTTTCGGTGTGATTCATGAATAAATCAAGATTTAATAGGAGGCTTGGGACCCAATAATGATAGAGTTAAGCAACAACATAAGAAAAATAAAATAAAAATAAAATAACAATAAAAAATAAAAATGATCAGAAACGGCCCATTCTATAATTCCTGCTTAAACTTACAATATACTTTTCAAAAGTTATTCAGCTCACCAAGTTTCTATGTTGAATGTGAAAGGTGTTTGTTTTGGTATAAATAACCTTTATGCTGGGAAATAGGCAACTAAGCTTTTATTTTTTGCAGCTACGCTTTGATTGAAAATTGCTGTGATAAATTATGTAACTCCTGCTGATAATTATGTGTCACAGAATTATTAGCTCTGAATGCTTTTGAGGACAAATTTCTTGAAATCTTTTCTTGTCTGGAAAGGTTTTGTGACTGTACCTTCTGTATTATTTGGAAGGGTTTTGTCGCTATACCTTCAAGGTGTATAGGCTCAGTAAACAGACGTCATTGCTAGCGGCTCTCATTTTAATTGATCTCTTTCTCAGCTGCACTTCAAAACTGAATAAAATTGAGAAAGTGATTGTTATATAAATTATTTTTCTCATCAACTTTATTTTTGCATTTGTTATCTGCCTCTTAATTTTTATATAGGATGATAGTGCTATTCAACGCACTTTGCAAAATTTTTATGTAGCAACAAAAACGACAACAAGCCTTTATCATCCCAGTAAATGGGGTGGGCTGCATAAATTCTTTTCCTTCGTTGTGTCCTATTGAGTGTCATATTTTCATATAATTCTAATAAATTAACATCATTTTTTATGCAATATGCCCAATTGAAATGGTAATTATTCAACACACTGCAACATTTTCATGATGATGAATTTGAACTCTTTTTAGGAAGATAATACCAAGTTATTCTGACTTGTATTTTACAAGTACATGCTCTTCAAATAAGAAAACTAAAGCTGATGCTAGAATGTGAATATATCTAAATAAATGATATTAAAAAATTACCGTAGGTGTGATTTATATCTAACTGATTATCCAAATGTAAGAAACTGGATCGAAAGTAAATTGTATCATGTAAAAGACAAATTTATCAAGCGCATCTCACTTTTACTTTTATTTTTTCCACTTATTTTGCGGAAATTAGTTAAATACCTTTACCATGACAGTCAGTGTCAATCTGGGATTCTTGATTCACTTCCACCCATATTGATTGCAGTTTTTTTATTTTGTTTTTATTTTTGCAGACTGATTCTTCATTAAACTGGAACATATAACTATCGTGCAATGCAACAGCACATCAACATCTTTTGTATTTGATTTCATTTTCTTCCAGGTACGGAGAATCTCCTTTTGAGTATGCTGTTGGGGATACTGAAGGAAGATTGCAGTCCGCCATTATGAATGCTGAAATAAAATGGCCAACAAGTTCAATCTCCTCTTATCCAGATCAACTCCATCAGTTTGTTTCATGGCTGCTTCAGCCTCAGATTTCGGTGCGGCCTCACATCAACGACATTCTCTTCCACGTCGACAAGCTCATTACCAATTTTTCCTCCTAAGCCCGGTGATAGAGAAGCATTCCATCCATATCTGTGAAGTTATAACATGTGCTTCTTCTCTTCTGTACTATATTTATGTCAATTTTCAGACTGATTTGTTAACAAAGCTTCTTCACTTATGTCAGGAGAGGCTGTACCTAAATGTTATGGCTATATTTATTTTCTTAATTCTTTTTTTGATGTTGCAGGAGTTTAATGACATATATATATATATATATATATATATTTGATGTGGTTGAAAGAGATTTTTCCCTCCAACACGAGAAAAATTTACGTACGTAAGATGTTTGCAGAACTGCATACATCGGAGGAGGTTATTCAGAGGATATTGGGGGTTATATTCGCGTTATACTCCCCTGTAACATCTCTGTAACCTACCTATAACCCGTCAATACCTTCTAAATAACCTCCAATGTACGCAGCTCTACAAATGTTTTACGTGCGCAATTTTTTCTTAGAACAGCCTCAGGCATCTATTCTGTTGATGGAGGTGCATTAATTTAATATTAGTCATTAGCAAATAATAAAAAAATAAGAGTCTTGTGCTGCACATGCCACTTGTTTTATTGGTTGGGATGCATCGTTCTAGCCGGTCAATAATTCATATCCGAATGACAAATATTTGTATGTATGATTTCTAATATGTATTTATTGCTTTTTGCACGTTTCTTTGACTTGTTAGTTTGCTTACCTTTTCCATATTATAAAGGTGTTAAAATTAGTGTATTTTGAAGTATAATTCACTCTCTCTTAATTCTGTTTTATGAATATATGTACTAATTTTCAGTGACACAACAAAGGAATTTGTCTTTCACAATACATTTTTTAGTTTCAACAAGAACATTAAATAAATTAATAAAAAAGAATGGAATAAATCAAAATTATAAATTTCGAAATTGAAATTATTTTTATAAAAAAATCTTGTCTAATTGTAAAATAAAAATAAAATAAATATTATTTAATATTATTTCTTAATAATTTCTACATGTAAATGCATTAAATTTTTTTAACTAAATGTGCCGTTCATTTTTCATTCGCTTCCATACTGTGTATATCTTGTAAGATATTATAAATGTAGATTGTAGAACTGGAATTAGTAAATTATATGTTATAAATAAGGGGAATTTATGTACTTGCTACCCAATTCTAATGGATATCCATTTCGAACACCTAAATTTCACTTTTTACATTTATACCATCCAAAATTTTCAAATATCATAAAAAAAAAAATCTTTCAAATCATATAAAGAATACCACCAATTTAACCTTCAAAAACTGAAATCCTCCTTTTAATGTTTAGGTATAGAGATATGCATGTAAAAAGTTCAAGTTTAGGTGTTAGATATCTAAATATATTAGAATTGAGTGGTAAGTATGTAAATCTTCATATAATTAATATCAGCCATTTTTGCTTTATAATGGATAAATGATATTATTTTATCATTCTTGCCAGGTTATGTTTTTGAATTTGATGCCATTTTCTTGCTCTCTTTTTTCATATAGAAAAACATTTGGATTTCTTCTTTATTTCAACGGAGGGTGGTATTTTGGGAAAAATATTACATCAGGATTCTTGACGACGGAGGGTGGTATTTTGGGAAAAATATTACATCAGAATTCCTACATCAGGATTCTTGACGTAGAGCTACGTTCGAAGTCCACTGATATGCGGACACGTGGATGTGACAGAAAAATTTAAAAAAAAATTATTTTAGCGCAGGAGAATATTCCTCCTGTGTTATTTCGCATAGGAGTGGACTCCGAATGTGGCTCTATGTTAGGAGTCCTGATGTAATATTTTTCTGATATTTTGCTCTTCCCTTTCTTTAATTGACTTTAGCTTTAATCCTTTTTATGTGAAGTTAACATTGCACTGTCATTCATTTTCACGACAAGTCTTCCCTCTTTTTAAAATAACACGGTTAGAAATTCATTAATTGATTATTTTTCCTTATGTATGTTATAAGATGTCCTGAAGAGATGATATTGTTGTGGACGAGTCTTTAAGTGATTGTGCACTAGAAAAGATTCAGATGTATCAACTTCAAGTATTTTAAATTGAATTGTATTGTCCCACACGTATATTATGTACCATCGTACACATTTTATTCTAGTTAACTTTAGGGATGAAAACTTCATAATTAAGATATTGACAATAGTTTTTTTTCTTGAGGTATTGAATTGTTCATTAATTATCTTAAGTAGCTCTTAATATTGTTATATTGATTAACTAAAAGATGAATACCAAGATATATTTTTATCTTTATGGATATTAAACTATGGTGATTAAATTGCTCCCAATACTTATAAAGTGTGACCTCATCAAAAGTATTTGCTCTAATAATTATAGATGGTTTGTCTTTTTAATTTAATAATATAATCAATGTTTTCTTCCTAAATGGAGAAAATTTCTCTCCTTTTATACTTTATAGCAATCATTTCCTAATTAAGGAATATGTCATACTTAATATCATAGATATTTGTTGATTGCATGACTACAAAAATAAACATAAAAAATATACTTATTAAAAAAAATTGAGATTCATCAACATATATCATGTTTTAATAATGTGCATCTTATATTAAATAATTATGAATTAACTAACCTAAAATTTATTTCTATGCTAATGTTCTAATTCACTTCATTTTTTTTAGTTCTTTATAATAAAGCAATAAAAAAAAATTCTAGTTCCTTCAAGTTAATTAGAAATATAGTTTGATATTTATCCTAGTTAATTGTATAAATATAATAGAAAATTCAGCTAGAAAAATTCATTATATCTATAACTTAATTTCAATTATTGTCTCTAATTATTTATGTGATGTATAAAATTTAATTATATAAATTTAACTATTAAAAATATTGTGATTAATCCCTAGTTATTCAAATTATATAAATCATTAAGACATTAGTTTTATACTCAATTATTTAATATGAATTATATGCAAGATAATAAATCAGGCATATTCATACAATTTAGCATAATCAAGCATAAAATTAACTTCTTTTCTTGCATTGTGATCGATATAAAAATTCTAAAAGTAATTAAATTATAGCTTTTTCACACAATTTCACTAAATAAAATAACTTCATTTACTATTTTGTCTTATTAGTAAAACACAAACACTCACAATCTAAAGCTTCATTCATTTGAATGTTAATGATGAATAATTGTCATGTTGTACTAAACTTCATGAAAAAACCTTTGGCTTAGCAAATATCAATTAGCTATTTAAATGAGTGTCAATAAAAGATGCCTACTGATACTATCATTATGTTATTCATGCCATCCTTCCAAACTAAATGATTAAATTACGGAAGGTTTAATGCTAATGTTTTAAACTGTACAATGAAAGCTTCAAATTTTAAAAAATAAAAAAAAACCAAAAAGTAATTGAAGATTTAAGTTTAATGATTGATTTCTAACATCACCTGGGTGCTCTTCCTCTTAGTCCTGCTCACAACTTTCAACATGATGCCTATAGTTGGAGTAGTAGAAAATCACTAACTATTTTATCTCCTTCCATAATTCTCTATCTTATACATATACTACTTTGTATCCAGCAGATGTCTTTTGATTAGTGAAAATTATTTTTTATCCCCTTTGTGTCTCCTACTTGTCTTCATGGTATCAGATGAAGGCTCTACGATTCGATACAGAAGAACTTCATGTACTTCCTAGCCACTCCAGCAGCGGTAATTTTTGTTTTTCTCATGGCCAAGATGGAAAATTCAACAACTTCCAACTTACTATCATCTTATCTACCAAACATCAATGTCTCTCTGTCTTTAAAGTTTCTAATTTCTCACATGAAACAATTGGCTCAAACCAATTGAAGGCTAAAAATTATCCTATTTAGAAAGCTCAAACTTTGAAGATCTTTACAGCCAATGAGTTTCTTGAATTCCTGGATGGTTCACTAGTCTGCCTGCCACAACATCTTGCTGAACAAAGAACCTTATGGCGACCATCCTCAATTTGCAGCATGAATTCATATTGATCAAAACCTCTCAGCAGCCTCTATTCCAGAATTACAATGATAATATTTCTATACATTCTTCACCTCCAAACCACAACGGAATTTGGAAAACCATAGAGAGGATGCTTCAACCTACAAAAGAGTCTCGAGTGATTCAAGTGGAAAATGAGCTTCATGATGATGACTCAATACCTCTTACTCGTGATAATATTTCTACTATGGGATCTCACATTGATCAAGAAGTTGTAATCCTTAACATTTTCGATGGCCTGTCGCCTACGTATCAATCTTTCAAAACCGTCTTTCATACACAAATGCTATATACTTGATTAAATGAATGCCCACCTAAGTCACAAAACTAATTTCTCCGTATCAACATCTCTATAGGATATCTCCATCATATCTTACTTCAGTACAACTGTGTTATATCGACTATACTGAGTTCCCTCAATACAACCAATACACCATGGTTGTACAAGGGAAATAATAAGACAATCATAGGAAAAAGTAAAAAAATTAAAAATTCATTCTATCTATATAGCTTTCTTTATTTTTATTCAGATTTTAAAGAAAACTAGACATTGTTGTCTTATTTCAATACAAACATGTTGTGAATATAGTATGTACGAAGAAAAACAAAATTAAAAAAATTCATTCTATCTATACCCATTTTTTATTTTTTTTTAATCAAATGTTAATAAAAACTCAATATTGTTGCATTACTTTTGTACAACAATGTCATATTGATTATACTCAATTACCTAAGTACAACAATTATAACTTGGTTGTACATGAGAAATAATCAAGCAATCTTAGGTGCAAGGAATATCAAAAATTAAAATTCATTTTATTGATATACATATTTTTTATTTTATTTTGATTTTAAACAAAAGTTAGCATTTTTATCTTACTTCAGTACCATCGTGTTGTATCGTTTATGTTGAATTCCTTCATAAAAACCAATACAACGTAGTTGTAGAATAGAAAAATTAGTCATTTTCTATTCAGATTTCAACCAACATTTACATTGCTGCATCTCTTCAGTATAATCGTGTTGTATTGGTTATACTGAAGTAAATCAATACAGGCAATACAAAATAGTTGTATTTTAGAAGCATACACCAAAAAACAAAATCTTCAGTTATGAAACAAAAAACAACCATTAAAAAAGAAAAAACAACGTTTGTCTCGCATTTGCAAGCATATCATTGTATTTACTTACCAAGAAAATAATTATTGTATCACACGCAGTTGCCGCTGTATTTTGATTCTAATGAGATTCCTAGTCTCTTCTTCGTCGTTACGTAGTGAGACAAACAGGCATGTGGACACTAGAAGAAGAAAATGCCGGCAAGCAAAAATAATAAAAACTAAATAGGAAAAGAGACAAAATGCTAAAGCCTAACCTTGATACAACCGAGGAATCTCAAGGGTAGAAAATATTGAATGATAAACTATAGAACAAATTCTAGAGATTTTGATATTGATCTCGGAATATTAAACGTTGAATAAACCCTAAACCTAAAAATTTTTTATGTGTGTTTGTTATATTTATTTTTTCTTGGACAGAATAGATCAAAATATTAAACGTTGAATTTCTTCAGTACGGACAGAATAGATCAAAATATTAAACGTTGAATTTCTCCAGTACAACCAATACAACCAATACAACGTAGTTGTAGAATAGAAAAATGAGTCATTTTCTATTCAGATTTTAACCAATATTTATATTGCTGCATCTCTTCAGTATAACTGTGTTGCATTGATTGTACTGAGACAAATCAATAAAACTAATACAAAATCATTGTAATATAGGAGCATACACCAAAAAACAAAATTTTTAGTTATGAAACAAAAAAACAACCATTAAAAAAGAAAAGACAACGTTTGTCTCACATTTGCAAGCATATCATCAAATTTATTTACCAAAAAGATAATTATTGTATTACACCTAGTTGCTGCTATATTTTGATTTTAATAAGATTCCTAGTCTCTTTTCGTCGTTACACAGCGAGACAAATAGACATGTGGACCCCAAGAGAAGTAAATGTCGGCAAGAAAAAATAAAGAAGCTAAATAGAAAAAAAAATTACAAAATGCTAAAGCCTTACCCACATTTTCTTCTCAAATGTGTAGAATAAAATAATAATAACGGACAGAATAATTTTTCCCACTTGGGTCCCCACGCACACCGAGAGCCAATTACAGAGATAATCCTCCAGCCCTTCGCGCCGCCAAATTCACGCCACGTAGCAACACCAACTGTTTCTCCGCCGTTATCACCCGCCCCTCCCTCCTCCGTTCCCCAGCCTCACAAAAAAATGGCGAAGCCCAAACTCAGTTCCTGCTGCGATTCCTGCCATTCTCTCCCACCCTCTCTTTACTGCCGCTCAGACGCCGCCTATCTCTGTATCAACTGCGACTCCACCATCCACTCTGCCAACTCACTCGCTCGCCGCCACCACCGCGTTCCTTTGCTCCCTATCCCCTCCGGCGGCCTTATCGCAGGTGGAATTTCAGTTGCTCAGCCGAAAGAGGACGAAGAAGAAGAAGAAAAAGAAGAAGAAGAGGAGGAGGAGAAAGTTGGGTTCTTTCTTGGAGGTGAGGTGGATGAGTATTTTGATCTAGTGGAGTTCAGTACTTGCTGCGAGGAAGAAGGGAGGGAGAAGTATGAAGGTAGGGAGGAAGAAGATAAGCGGATGTTGCAGAGTTTTCAGATGGGATATGAAGGAATCAATAAAGGGATTGATTGTTCTTCTTCTATTGGCCATACGGTCAGCTTTCTGATCTTATTTGAGTTTCCCTTAGTTTTAAAGATTACAGCTTTTTTCCTAATTCTGCAACTGTAGTTTTTCACACAGGAATCTCTATCATCAATCGAAGCAACGGTGGTAGCAGAAGATACCATTCAAATACCCCAACAGTTGAGTTCCATGGACAGAGAGGCCAGAGTTCTGAGGTACAGGGAGAAGAAGAAGACGAGAAAGTTTCAGAAAGTTATCAGATATGCATCGAGGAAGGCGTATGCTGAGACGAGGCCTCGGATTAAGGGCAGGTTTGTTAAGAGAACAGATGCAGAACTTGAAGTTGATCAGATGTTTGCTGCATCTCATGTTATGGTGGAAGCGGGCTTTGGTGTTGTTCATTCTTACTAGTTCAGTATGTGGAATATGTAGGAAGTGTAATGTGTTTCAGGAATCTTTCTCATGTAATTAAGTATTCTCTTATTTGGAACTCATGTGCAATTGTTGCTTTAAGCTCTGTTTAATTATAATGATGTGGTATTTAGTGACAATAGAATCAATTTTATGATGAAAGAATTGAGACAAATTAATGGTGGAGTGTATTTCTTTAATTGAAGGAGTGGAATGAATCAATGTTTTTTGAAGAGAGGACTTTGAGAGATGAAGACCTATAAAATGGATTGGGTGCTATGACAGCTTGTAGAAAGAGGAATTTGTTAGCTAGATAGATCTTGGGAGGAATGGATGACTCCCCAATTTTTATTTATTCAATCAATAATCAAAATTGTTCTTTCAAACTTTATTTACACTATTTATTAAAAAAATATGTCCCAAAAGTTAAATTTAATTAATTTACATTAAAATCAAGGTGATTTACAAAAATCATGTAATCTAAATTCTCATAAGCATTTGATTATACTCACCACCCACATCTATGCTTTTTGAAAATAGAATTAGCTTTTGTATCATGTGATATCATATTGCATATTAACTCCAAAATTTCTTTTCTCTCTTGATATTAAGTTGGCCTCTACTTTTATTAGACATTATATGGCATTTTAGTGTAAAATTTTAAATTGAAATCTCATATATGAGAGGTAAGCTTGATTTCATAAATATAAGAAATTTATGGGTGACATTTACAATTGACATTATTGTTACATGTAATTAATTCTAAAATACAGATAATCCTAGCAAGTAGATGCATAAAAATAAAAATACTCAAATAATTCAAGTATTACAATATTTTACTAATAAATTTCTCATATTATATAACATGCAATGTAGAGTATATTTATTTGAATGCAATATGAGTGCTTGGATTCCATTTATAGCATTTAACCTTTTTAGTATTTGTTTTAAAGAAAAAAAGATGAAACGTAAAATTTTTGGGCATTACAAATACTCCAAACACCACATTTTATCATGCATTTGGAAGTCAATTAAGACAATTGATTTTCCAATCCCATACCATTATCGAAAAATTGCCAATTACTAATGTCGATTTCAATCGCAAGAATTCACCAAAATATTTATCCACCTTACCACACAAAAGTGAAAAGGAGCATCTCTTAAGGATATTTTTCCAAAAAAAACTATCAGACACAAGTGCAATGTTTTCTGGTGGATGCTCCACTAGTAACCACTTTTGTTTTTGTTTTGTCATGTTATGAGTCTTATTTTCTTGCTCCATTTTTCTCTACATTGCCAAACCCCCTCCCTCACCAAGCTCTACTCCAATGACCAAATAGGCTAATAAATGTGTATCATGCATTTGGAAGTCAATTAAGACAATTGATTTTCCAATCTCATACCATTATCGAAAAATTGTCATTTACTGATACCGATTTCAATTGCAAGAATTCACCAAAATATTTATTCATCTTACCACACAAAAGTAAAAAAGGAGCATTTCTTAAGGAAATTTTTCCAAAAAAACTATCAGACACAAGTGCAATATTTTTTGGTGGATGTTCTACTAGTAACCACTTTTGTTTTTGCTTAGTCATGTTATAAGTCTTATTTGCTTCCTACATTTTTCTCTACATTGCCAAATACCCCTTCCCTCACCAAGCTCTACTCCAATGACCAAATAGGACAATAAATGTGTATCATGCATTTGGAGGTCCATTAAGACAATTTATTTTCCAACCATTATCGAAAAATTATCAATTACTAATACCGATTTCAATCGCAAGAATTCACCAAAATATTTATCCACCTTACCACACAAATGTAAAAAGGAGCATTTTTTAAGGATATTTTTCCAAAAAAACTATCAAACACAAGTGCAATGTTTACTGGTGGATGCTCTAGTAGTAACCACTTTTGTTTTTGCTTTGTCATGTTGCGAGTCTTATTTGCTTTCTCCATACTAATTTATATTTTTTCTAAAATAAAAGAATATTTCAAATATTTAATACTTAATTTTTAATATGTATTTTAGGTTTAGTTTTCTACATTTACTTTCTCTAGGTAAAATTAATTTTTTTGTAATAGGCGTACAATTTTAATGGGACTTCATTCTTTTTTATTTTTGTAGACCTTGATTAGATCTACCATATTTAGTTAGGCTCTCTTTTTATACATAGGACATTTCCTCATAATCAAGCATAAAATTAATTTGTCAAATATTTTGGTAAAAATTAATATATAGTTTATGTAGGATGATAATATGTTCAAAATATTGCCTTGATAGAATGTATCAGCCTAGTTATATTTATTGATGATTTCATATTTGAATAGAGTTAATAACGGATTACACTACATTGGTAAAAAGGATTAGTGGATAAATTATTGAGTAGAGTTGAACATTTTGTGTATGTAGCTTTGTAAATATCTTTAACATTTTGAGAAAGAATTTAGATATCCACATGGTAACATGAAAATCAAGTTTATGTGACACAAGATGATGCTAGGGTGATTTAGATGGGAGAAGATTTTAACTCAATTATTGGATTCGATCTTCCCATATTGAGTACAAGCCACTTATGAACTTACACAATGGCTCTTCAACAATTTTACTTTGCACTGTTAAATATAAATAAACTTGAAGGTACAAGTTAATGAAATTTGATATTGATGACCCACACTTTATAGAAGCTGCAAAAGAGCCTCTTAATAAAGATCTTTATAAAATTTATGGATTATTTTTTTTTAGCACAATAACCCTTATGGGATGGCTACACCAATCACTTAAAATTACTATTTACTGTATGAATGCTTAAATTTATTATTGAGTTTAATCTACACTTATAATACTTCATCCGAATTGGGAGGTTGATAAAAAACAACTTTATTGGATAATTGACTGTTAGAAATCCTTACTTGAAAAAAAATATTAAGTTTTTGGCTAGTTTTCAATGCATAAAAAATAACTTATTATGTTGATGTTTGTCTGTTATATTAATAGTTGATGCCATGCATGTTGAATGTAAACATTGTAGGCCACTTAAAATTAAACCATATAATTAAGTTAATGTAAGCTGAAGCATATATCATAAAAGTAGTTATTTTAGTTTTCTTTAATTTTGTGTTTATAAATTATTTATGTGTAATAATGCTCTATTTATACAATGAGATAACATCACAAAATAGCAATTAAACCAAATCTTTTTAATCATCAATCATATGCTAAAACATGCAAGTACTTCAAACACAGATAACCTCATTTCACATCTAACCTATGAAATAACATTTTTGGTTATGTATAAATAGTTTCATACCATAGAATAATTAGGACTGTTCACCTTACTCATATTTGTTATTCAAAATTGCACTTAATAATCTACCTTTAAGGATGCAAATAACTACCCCTTACATATTGTTCATACTCAATTTTCTAGGTCGTACAATCCAAAAGGAAAAATAAATATATTCTTACTGTTATTGATAAAGAGTTCAAAACTTAATAAGATGATAATTTAATTACATATATCATATTTTAACAAAGATTTTTTTTTCCATAAAAGTGGTGCTTATGCAAATAATTAGTGATTTCAAAAAATATGATATGTTATCAAGCAAAACATTATAAGGAAATTAACTTGATTTTCATTCACTAAATTAAGAAAAGTATTTATATTAAAATATAGTCAAAAATTATGGTTTAATTATCATCATATATCCTCATTCATTTATTATGCATTATGAAAAGCAAGATGCTTATTTAATAATTAAATTAATAAATTCTAACATTTACCTTGAAGAGCACTATGATGGATGATTAATATGATACCAAGATAATTATCTTGCTTTTATTATCAAATATATGTCTCTCACATTATATTATTAATCTAAACTGTGCTGAGAATAATATTTTTTAAGATCTAACTTACTAGATGATAAACTTAATATGAAACAATCTAGATGTGGTGTATATATAAATCTTGCTAAATATCTATTTGATATTGTAATACAACTTAGAAGCAAGAATAGATTTCAAAGAGTACTATAAAAAACATATTTGAAGCATTAAGAAATTAATGCTATTTTTTTTATTTTTAATTTGAATGCTAAATATTGTCACATTAAATTAGTAATGAAAAGTGTGTAAATGGGTGCAATCTTTAGAAGTTATAAGATGTTGGTACATCAAATTAAGTCGATGCATATGTTTTCATTCATTTTTCTCTTTTTTATTTTAAAAGGAATCGTCAGCTTGTCAATCGTCATATACTTCTCTTTTCTGAATAAGTCTCTCTTTTGGGTCATATGAATGACATGAAGAAAAGAGGAACGAAGAAGAGAAGAACCGAAGAACCGAAAAGGAGGGACATACGATAAAGCAACAAATAAGAGAAAACACAAAACGTGAAGAGCCTACGTGCGGTAAACCTCACAATGATATGTTAAGAATGTCCTCTCAAACAAGATAGGGCGAAAGCACCTTAAACCAATATTCGTGAGAGAATGCCTACGTAAAATACCAAAAACCAGAGAGTCAGGTGTATGTGTCTGTTCTGGAGTCAAGAGCACTCCCAAGGGGACGTTTCTCACTTGGTTAATTACTTCTTAGGAGGTACCTAAGAATACTCTCGATAAAAGGAGTTTCGCTTGGATTATCATAAACCTAGGGCAATAGGTACTCAAAGGAAGGTTATTCTGCGTGCGAACAGTTTCGATGCTTTAAAGCTCGCGCTAAGCCAGGGGGCAGAGAGTGAGTCTCTCACATCCTAAATGGGTAGCGGCTCATCGGCATACAGGGCCCACATAATAACCTAAATCATATTGACGGGGATATCCCAACACGTCAAAGCACGTCCGAACCAAAGGGCAGAGGACAATCGTTGTATCTTAAATGGGCGGTAGCTCATCGACATCGGATCATCAAGGTCGGATCATCAAGGTGATATCAATGAAGTCAAAGATTGCTAGGGCTCAAAGGGGCTCAACGAAAGAGAGGTAGAGTGAACCTAAAAGGTAGAGGCAACTGGGTCGAGGTACCATATCGAGGTCCCATAGACCCGTCATCCACAGCTACTATGACCCTAAGTCTACATGATCGTGAAGGTAGTCGACCCAACATGTTCTGAGATCCCCGGTCAGCAATCTGTGAATTGCGTCGTCCACGAGGGATCTTAGTAGCCCTAAG